TGCTAATTTACCTGGGAGGCAGTAGATGATGACCCAAGTGCTTCTATCCTTGTCACCAATGTAGAAGAACCATATGAAGTTTCTGTCTTCTGGGTTTGGCCAGTGAGGCTGGCCAAATGAAGGCATTTGGGGAGTGAACCATCAGTTGGAAGTTTTTGGCTCTGTTTCTCCCTCTCTCTCTTAGATTCCTTTCCAATAAATAAATAAATAAATAATTTTTTTAAAAAAAATCTAGCTTTTAGAGTAGTGTTAGAAACTTTTCCTACATGTAAAATACAGACGTATCAAGAGTTCTATGAATATTAGCTGTTATTCTGAGAAAGACTACTACTGCTCAGCAAAAAATTACCCAAGATGGTACATGGTACCTGGCACCTAACTTATTGTACCTGTTAGGTAACAGAAATTCTTGATATTTTATTTTTTATTTGTTAAAAGTTAATATCTTTCCCTGAGCTTTCTGGGAGAAATTTATGGTAACTAAAATAGAAGTGATTGTAGAAAAAGTTAATATCTTACTCTGAGCTTTCTGGGAGAAATTTATGGTAACTAAAATAGAATTGATTGTTGAACATTAAAAGTGATAAACTCGGGATCTGAGCTATCACAGTTGCCAGGAAAGCACGCATAGCTGGGTTAGTGCAATTGCGATACAGGAACCAATGAAAGTAATATAACAAAAATGCTGAGTAGAAAATCTGCCATGGAAAAACCTATACCTAATCCTACAAAGGAGAATATGGATTTAGTAAAGACTAAAGCTCAGTGATATATAGGTAGCATTTCTCCTTTTTAAGGACATAATCTTTAACATAAAAATAAAGAGGAAAGTATCATTATATTCTTAGAATCCTATCCAGGAATACATGAGATATTTTCTTTTTGTATTAATAAATAAAAATTAAGAAAAAATAAAATATAAATAAAGTAAACATTGAATATTATCTCAAAGTATTGGCTACAGGTTTTTCCAAGTGTCATCCATGAAATCATACCTACTAAAAATAAAGTCCATATCACAAATGTAGTGTTACAAATCCTGAGTAAGCCATGGTTAATTTTTAGCATTCCTAATAGCTTAAATCAGAAGATTTATTTCAGATTGTCATATGGAGAGGATCACTAAATCTGAATTTCTCTGAAATACAATTGGTGAACTGGAAGACAGAAAGATAGGGAGCTTGAGGAATTTTTGTTTGGTTGGGTTTGGTTTGGTTAGATTTCACTTTATTGTCAGTCTAGAAAGCACTTTTCAACAGAAGAAATAGAGTATCAAATTTTGCACTCATAGCTGGAATACGACAGAATGTAGAACATAGCAAATGCTGTAAAAACCAAGTATATCTAGAAAGCAGAGATTTTAAGAATTGTAGAACCTGCTAAATCCAAGTGAATCTATTTGTAATGAAATATTGGCTCATAGTGGCTGAGGGTGATGGAAAGGCCTCTCATTAAACATCACTAACTCAGCTACTGCAAAACACTGGGGACCTTTCCAATAGATAATTAGGACCCAGTAGGAGGAAAAACATTGAATCTAACATAGGATAGGAGTAATCTGAGAACCACCATTTAGAAGCCTATTGAAGATGAGAGGCTAGATGGATCCATAGGCATGCTTGCAAAAAGATTTCTCCCAATTTCTTGGTAGTAAGTGATTGGAAATCCATGTAGTATTAACCATAGAACTCCAAATTCTAGTACTGGGAGTTGTATAAAATTGTGGGTAATTTTACTAGAATGTACAGTACATGTGATTTTGTATGTGGGATTAGTGATTCTTGATTTATCATTGGTTATCTGTTTAGGTTTTTATGCAAAATTAAGTATTCCACTCAATAAAGACATGCTAGGTTGAACAAGAGAAACTCACTTTTCAATTTTAGTCAGAACTATGGTACTTGGAGTGGGTATATTAGCAGCAGGCCTCATACATGTAATGGAGCCTCACCTAGATTAGTTCCTAAGAAACTGAGATTGTGTTTCTAAGGCACCAGAATGATCTGTAAATTTCAATGCTGCCAACAATTGCTTTTAGAATGCATACAAGTAAGATTCAGTTTGACTGATTTTTCTTGACTAAATTGACTGGTTATATTATTATATTGTAAACATAGACATTTTCTAGTTTTGATATTTTCTTATAACAGAACCATAGGCATGAACTAATCAGACTTGAGGAACTTCATGATTTGAATAAGGGTGCAGGCACTGTGGTGTAGCAGGTAAGCTGCTGCCTGTGACACTGGAATCCCAAATGGGCACTAGTTTGAGTCCCAGCTGCTCCCTTCCAATTCAGCTCCCTTCTTGTGGTCTTGGAAAAGCAATGGAAGATGGCCCAAGTGGTTGGGTCTCTGACATCCACATGGGAGACCCAGATGGAGTCCCTAGTTCCTGGGATGCCTGGACCAGCCCCGACTGTTGTGGCCATCTGGAGAGTCAACCAGTGGATGAAAGATCTCTCTCTCTCTCCCTCTCTCTCTGACTATGACTTTCAAAATAAATAAATATTTTAAAGAAGAAAAATATTTGAATAGGATATTCCATAAGGCTTGTCTAGTTTTGGTAATAATAAAAAAGCAACTTGAATTACCAACTTTGAGCTATTTGTAAATGGCAGGAAATAAAAGCTGGTTTTCTCTGTATACTCTGTTACTTCATTGAAAAGTGTTTAGTCCTTTGGGGATATTAGGATAACTACTCAGCACCTTAATTGAAATATTTTAAAATTTAATTTAAAAATCTATGTTTGGAATTATTTTTCATAAGAGACTTAAACATATTCTGTGCATGTACATTATGTCATTCGAAATGTGGTCTGGGTTTCACCAGCATTAATATCAAGCTTATAGAGCCGGCGCCGTGGCTCAATAGGCTAATCCTCCACCTTGCGGCGCCGGCACACCGGGTTCTAGTCCCGGTCGGGGCGCCGGATTCTGTCCCGGTTGCCCCTCTTCCAGGCCAGCTCTCTGCTATGGCCAGGGAGTGCAGTGGAGGATGGCCCAGGTGCTTGGGCCCTGCACCCCATGGGAGACCAGGAAAAGCACCTGGATCCTGGCTCCTGCCATCGGATCAGCGCGGTGCGCCGGCTGCAGCGGCGGCCATTGGAGGGTGAACCAACGGCAAAGGAAGACCTTTCTCTCTCTGTCTCTCTCTCTCACTGTCCACTCTGCCTGTCAAAAAAAAAAAATATCAAGCTTATTAAAAATACAGAATTGGATGTCAGCTTTGTGGCATAGTGATGCCACCTGTGATGCTGGCATTCCATGTGAGCAACAGTTCAGGTTCTGGCTGCTCCATTTCTGATTCAGCTCCCTGCTAATGTGCCTGAGAAAGCAGTGGAAGATGACACAAGTGCTTGGGCCCATGTATCCACTTGAGAGACCCAGAAGAAACTCCTGGCTTTGGCCTGGCCCAGACCCAGCTATTGAGTCCATTTTGGGAGTGAACCAATGGATGGAAGGTCTCTCTCTCTTTACCCCTCCCTCTCCTTCTCTCCCTCTTTCTCTGTAGTTCTCACTTTCAAATAAATAAATAAATCCTTTTAAAAAATACAGAATCTCAAGGCCACCCCAGAGCTTCTGAATAATAATCTGCATTTTAACCATGTTATACGAAATTCAAAGGCACATTAAAGTTTTATAAGAAGTTGTGTGGCTGACTATGTTTAAAGAAACCTACCTCCTCATCAGTGATGGTCTCTGGAGAATCTTACTTGTACTCTTGCCTTTCTCTTAGTCTAGTTTTGGATTTGGTATAATATCTTCAGCCAAAACAAATTTTAATTGCATTCTTGAAATCTGTTATCCAAAATTCCCTCAAGAGAACAGCTCCTTAATTTTCTGAAACATATTTGTGTGCTTACTATAAAGCTAGGCATTTAATCCTCACATAAACCATTTTTTTCATTTGTGGAAATGTGTCCAAGTTGACAAAGCTTGCAAGTGGCTGAGTCACGATTTGTCCCGTGGTACTGTGGCTCCCAAGTTGGTCACCTTACCCACTCAAATCACAAAGGAGAAAACCATCTGATGTTTAAATAACATTCAAACTTTTAAACCACTGTAGTATAGATTCAACAGATGGAGATAGTTAACTGTGCCTAAATGAAGAATGAAAGTAACTCCTGATGTTTGAGTGAAATATATTACATGCTCTAATAAAGATTTTTTTTTACCTCATAGCACTATAAAGAAGCTAAATTATATATGCACTATGTTGATAGGTACTATCATATAAGAATAACTTTTATATGGAAAATACTGTTCTTTCTAAGCAATCGTCGTCTTGCAACAGGCATGGGAGTTCACCAATGACTGGACATGGGAGCCAGACAAAACATAAGAGGAGAGAAGAAACTGTTCATATAGAAGTGAACTAAATTCTCACAGCTACATAAGCACATTCTGTATCGATGAATAACTGAAAAGTCATGGTGTTAGTTTAGGTGAAGGAAATATATGGCAGTTTGAGTGATTGCTTTATCGTTTTTCCTTTTTATTTCCTCTCATTATTATTTCAGGATGCCCTGAAAATTGGCAATAAATATTTCTTTTGACATACCAATGTCATAGTTCTGGTAACAGGATAAAGATGCGAGCATGCAGTAAATGTTTTTTTTTTTTCTCTACCAAAACTATATTGCAGAGAAAGAACTAAAAAGTAAAATAGCTATTTCTACTTTGAAATGCTCTGACTTGAACATCTCCTCTAACTGGATGAAAAACCTATTATATAGGTTAGGACACTATGAAGACTTAATCCTTATCTAGAAGTAAACAGAAAGGATTCACACTTCTGCAGTTCGAGATGGCTTAAAAGGTTGTGACTGTTAGAACTGGAAGAGAACCATGTGTATCCAATGAATGTATTACTGAACTTATAATGGGAAGAACTGCGGATGATGAGAATGACAAATATTGCAAAATAAAATTTGAGGATTTATTGATCACCTAATTGGTGTTCACTCTAATAAGTAATTGGTGTGGTTTGTCTTTCAGTGTGTATGTACAGAGAACCATCACTACATGAAATTGGGGAAAAACAAGGGCGTTCGAGGAAAAGCTCTGGAACACCAACTATGAATGGAGGCAAAGTCGTGAATCAAGACTCAACATAGCTGAGAACTCTTCTTCCCTCTCTCATACCTCCCCTTTCCCTTCCCTACCCAGTACCCATTTCCTTCTAATCAATTCACCCAAGGAGAGAAAAATAAAATGGCAACACAAGACCTAGTGGCTAAGATTCTGCACTCAAAATCTTCCTTGTGTAGGACAAAAACAAAAAACAACAAATTGAACCAAAGCTTGCCTGTTGCAATGTGGTAGCAAATTCATATGCTCAAATTAGTATATCTAAAATCAAAGAAAAAAATAAATCAGGATTCCACCTTGAATGAAACTATGTTATTAATACTGGGCTAATTGTAATGAAGACATAACTTTAATAAAGATGAAATAAAGTTGTTATCTTAAAGGAAAGGGTTTTAGAGAATTGAGCTTACACATGGATGTTGTACTTAATAGCTTAAACTCTGAATAACTCTGTGCTGTATGAGTTTGATCCTGTGTTTTCTTTAGGAATCTGGAATTGACATACAATTACATTCTGTTTCTGGGATTTTTTTTAATCATGAAATTGAATATGTATGAATTATAATTTCTTTTAATACCAATAGGTATAGCCAGGAAGCATTTAACATCAAGAAAAGTTTTAAAAATTATTCCTAAAACTGTTATTTCAGATTGTTTTATGCAAAAGCATAATCTCATATTGAATCTAATGGCATTCATTTATTTAAATTTTCATAAAGAGTTTCAGATTCTCCTAGGAAATATCATATTTTCATCAAATGTATGAATCCAGAATCTTGTTTATGTTGGGTAATTTATAGAAAGAATTCTTAGCTAACACTGAAGCAAATTGTGAGAATTCTCTTCCATTGCTATGTCCAGCCAGTGAGGTCTGCGTTACTACCATTTGGTCTGACGTTGTGCCTTGTGGACACCTTTCAGGATGTAGGTGCTTGTTTAACTGTCTTAAGAGTTTTAGACCATATTGTGTAGCAAGAAAGAAGGAAGAAATGTTATATATAAGGAAGTAAGTCCTAGGAAATTTGTCAAAGAAAATTATGTTTTATTTATATAGCATTTCTAAACTCTGCAAAGAAATTGGGAAGCATGGCTGTGTAATTACTAACTTAACTATATTATGAAACCAGTAGTTTGTTCCTTGCTATATATTCTCATTTGTAAGTCTAGTTGACAATAAATCTGTCTTCTAGAAAAGAGAAGTGTACTAGTAATACACTGAATTTTCAAGGGTCATAGAAAAATACTATGGAATGTTCAGCCATGGCTTCAATAGACAGAGGGTTTTGTGAGAGACATTCAGTGTAAAAGCAGGCAAATCTATAATTAGGAACTCTAAAATATTAGAAAAATATTAAGGAAGACATGGATGCTATACAGTTGCATTGGGATAAACAGATTTACTCAGTCCTACAAATCAGGAATGGTGTAGAGACATCCAAATTAAAACAAAATAAAACAAAACAGAATGATATCAAATGTATGCAGATTTATGGATATTATCAATGAGAAGACTTAGCATGTGACTTCTCCTATTATCTCTACTGTCCAGCATGTATGTTCCAAATATGACTTCCTAAAATATATATACTTTGCAGAAGCTCTAGGCCCTCACCTCAAACCTTGCCATTTGGTTGCTGTATTCCTTCAAGATCAAGCATAGTTTCCCTCACTCTACACAATCATTATTCTTCAATAGAAGTCTGTGTGCTTCACCAAGTATCCTATTTCTGTTATCATGGTGATAGCAGAAAATTGAATCAAAAGAGTTAGCCGGATCAGTTGGGAAAAATAGATGCTATGCATTTAGACAAGAATATTGAATGCTGTTTGGCAAGAGATATTTGTTTAATCAAAATATTTGGAAAATAAACAGTAAAATACTTAAAAAGGAATGTTGCTCTTGTAGGAAAAGAATATTCTTGTAAAAAAATACAAATCTGACTGTATATTCCTTGTCACTCTTGATTCAACTTGATCATAAATATTCCTGTCACTTCCAGGACCAAACAAATCCCAAGCACAAAGCCTTATTTTCTTTGAAAAAAAAAATAAAATAGAGGCATCAACAAAATTGGTCACCACTGTTTTCGTATGAAATTACTTGAGATTTTGTGGTAATGCACAGACATACACATCAATAACACAGTAAATAATTTCACAAGTGACACATTTGATAGAATTCACAGTCCTCAATTACCCTGATGATTTTATGATGGAATCTGCTTAATGCAATTAATTGTGAAAAATATCATAAGAGTTATGGATCTCCCACAAAATCCCTCCACTTTCAGTCATTAATCACCTACATGTATGTTTGTCTCCTTTCTAGCAGTTAAAAAGAGTTCTAACCACACAATTTGCATATTGTTTTTCTCCATATCATGTTAAGAAAATGTCCACTACAATAAAAATGCTTTGGAAATTAGCTTTTTTTCTTTCCAATACATTTTAGAGAATGAATTGGCAGTCTCATATTTCTTTTACACATATACTTCCAAAAATTATAGTTTAGAGCACGGGTTGAATGTTTTCTTAACTGCTGCCTAGTTTGAAAATATATGAAACCCTTAATAGAAAAAGTAAGTATTTGCTGCCTAGGTTTTAAAAAAATCCATTATAAACGTAAAGTTACCAATTTTACTCCAAAATATGAACAACTAAAATAATTCTGTTTTTCATTGTTCTGATTTCTGAGCCTTCAATTCATCCATCACACTCTCCTTTAAGTGAAGTAAGATCTTCAAAACATGTTGGAGTAGTCTCAAGAAAAACTTGCTTAGTAAACTTTGTAATTGGCTATGTAGATGTAAATTAAGACATGTTTGTTGTAAGAGTCCTTATTCTTGTACGTCTCAAAATTCATGGACTAAACAATGAAAACAAAACTTGAGGGTCACAAAATAGCCTTCTAGTTAAATCTCATTTTATTTGAAGCCAGAAGTTTGTGGTACAGAAACGGATGGTGCTGAAGTTCTGCTTGCTAATATAGAGACTTTGTGTTCAGGCAATGAGAGGACAACAAAGCATCCTCTTCTTGATCATAGTAATGTTGCAAGTTTGAATTTTGCATATGGATGTTATAGAATATTTTTAGCCACCACGGATTGGTGCAATAAAGAGGTATCAACGTAATAGCATGTGATGTGTAATGGGCTTCATTTTAATTTCAGAACACTTGCTTAGCAAAACTCTTCTATTTGACAAAATGGCAACACTGTAGACATTATTGTATCTAGATGGGTTGTCCTCTTTGCTGCTAGCAAGAGATGAGGGTATTGAGATAAGAATAATGGATGAAGAATGACTTTGTTGTCTGTTCACAAGTCTGAAAGTCTTAATGTAGCATCCCTGATTTCTTGGTAAAGAAGCATGACTACATCAACTATAAGTTTTTAAGACACACATATAAATAGCAGATCTACTATTTTATCCTCATGGCTGGGTGTACAAGGCTTTTCTCTTAAGAAGATTTTCCATGATGTTGCTTAATTTCATCTGCACAAGGTAAGACACAGTAAGGCATAAAAATTCACTGCTCATTTTAACAACATAAAAGCCCGAGATTATATCTCTGTCATAAAATTGTAAATAACATTTTTAAAGTCAGAATTACATTGAAACAGTGGATTGTTCTACAAATATATATGTGTATATACGTAAGGTTCTGAAATCAGGATATACTATTTAGAATTTTTATTTCATCTGTGGTCTTAAGTTATAGACAATCGAAAAGGTTTGAATGCAAAACTTTACATGTAAATGTATATTTCTAATGATAGTACAATTGCCACTTTATAATTAAAAAAGAAACAGGTGGGAACAATCATCAAAGCACATGCTCTTTCAGAACCTCAGTTAACTTTTAATTCCCTTTTTGATGGAGAGATTATTATGCTTTATTTCTAAAATGTTATATTAATATCTATACTTTCTTATATAGATTCCATGATAACTCACATCAGGTTGAAAATATATGGTTGGATGGCAGAAATAGCTAAATGCTGATCTTTACTTTTTAGGATTTTTCTTGGAACCCAACTTAAATCAGTATATAAATCAAGCTATGTAAAATTACCAATGTTTAGAAATCATAGATTGACTTCAGTAACAGATGCAGTAAACAGAAGCAAAAATAAGAACACTTAATATAATGTCATTAACAAATTCCATAAAATGGGATCATTAAATGTTTTTTTTTTTTAAGTTGGAAAAACTGAGCTGTTTCTTTGTCTTTGCTCCAAAGCACAATTTAAAGACAGTGGCATTCATTTTACTCAAAGATGTTTAAAAAATTCAAATACACACCCATGAATATAATTGGTATTAGCTCCATTACAAGGTTAAATGTTATATTCTTAAGAAATTATCGACACTAAAATGTTTAATAAACATGATATATGAAAAGCAACAAGTTCATGATTAATTTTTGCATTAATGCACCGATTACTCAAGTTATTGGTTTTTCAGATCAGATTTGTAAAATGTTTATAAATCTCAAATTCCTGAAGTGAAAAGCTATTGAAATCTTGAGATGCTCATGCATGTAGAAAAAAATTCTTTTTTTAAGATTAAACTTCTTTGAGAAGTCTCTCTTTTTCCTTTTTTATTGTGTTTATCCTATAATGTGTTTGTGAAAAAGTGTTATGCCTTATTTTAAAAAAAGATAAAAAATATCCATGGGCAGGAAATGAGTCAAACTTTGATGTACATACAGAATTCTAATTATGATGCTACTTACAATAGTCTGACATATTGCTCTTTAAGGATTAGGAAGTAGGGCACACTCATTTATTCCTTTTCTCCATTGTGTACTAACTAGATGATCGATTGAGTTTAGGGATTATGAACTAATGAACAGCCTGAAAAAATCCATGGAAGACAAACATGTAAATAAATCAGGTAATACCCCCCAAAAATGTGTGACAATAGGTGTGTTGCTAAGATTTTTATATAACCTTCATGATGCAAAAATGAAGACTAAAGACAACAGTTGAAAAACAATAGATAACCACAGTTCTTACAAATAGAGGACACAATTTGATGAAAAGATATAGATATATGCAAGACATAACTTACTTGAGAAAGACTTGTAAGTAAAGCAAGGCAAGAATGTTCAGAAAAGGAGATGCAGAAAAAATTGAGATTAATAAAAGTGAAAATTTATTCAACATTTTTCAATGCATTCTGGATTTGTCTGAGTCTTTGTATCTGCTAGGATGTTTCTAGATATCTGTAAACAGTTCTAAGACCAAACTGGTGGCCGGCGTCGCGGCTCACTAGGCTAATCCTCCGCCTTGCGGCGCCGGCACACGGGGTTCTAGTCCCGGTCGGGGCACCGGATTCTGTCCCGGTTGCCCCTCTTCCAGGCCAGCTCTCTGCTGTGGCCCGGGAGTGCAGTGGAGGATGGCCCAAGTGCTTGGGCCCTGCACCCCATGGGAGACCAGGAGAAGCACCTGGCTCCTGACTTCAGATTAGGGTGGTGCGCCGGCCGCAGCGGGCCAGCCGTGGCGGCCATTGGAGGGTGAACCAAGGGCAAAAGGAAGACCTTTCTCTCTGTCTCTCTCTCTCTCACTATCCACTCTGTCTGTCAAAAATAAAGAAACATAAAGAATGAAAAGGAGAACCCTACCTGGCACTTCATTTAGAGTTCACAACATCAGCACCAGGGCTTACCTTGAGTTCTTCCCACCTCCATGAACATTAACTCCCCCTCTTGGAGTTAATTCCTTTGCAACGGGTGGATGCAGTCTATTTATATTTGGAAGTGGCAAATTCTTCCTATTTACATCATCTATGCTCTCTTATAATTCTCCAGAAAACATCTCCTCACATCTCAGTGACCTAATTTTCTTTCCAATGAACCTTCAGGCCCAGGAATGTGAAATATGTTTATGTTAACCAGAGCCTTTTCTAAGACTTGGAGGTTGGATGTACTTACTCAAAGACATAGGTGTGCGTGGATGAATGTGAATATTGAATGAAATTCAATGTCCTTTCATCAAGAGAAAGTGGAAATGATTGAAAAACATTGTAAATGTCTATGCCTGTTAGTAAATGGGTTTGCTGTCACAATTCATTAAATATTCTGAAAGTCATTAGGGCAGTATAAATATTGATGAATTAAAGATATTTCCCAAAACTATAAGGATGAAGACACTGAAAATTCAATTCTCCCAGTATTATTAATTGCCCACTATTCAAAAAGCACAATGCAGATCACTGAAAATGTGATAAACATAATTTTAAAGGAAAAACAAATTTGGTATGTCCACTGCTTTTAGACTGTCCAAAAAGGGGGCTAAAGAATGCAGCTTTGCTGTTGTAGATCAGAGGTCTATACCAATTTATTATCTTCACTTTTTTTTTACACATCTATTATAACACTGCTTGGATTAGGCCAGTACAAATGGCTTCTCAAAATATAATATAAAGCATTCATTCCAGGTATCTAAACTTGGGAACATTTGGGACTTCAGAATCACCTGGGATAGTGAGACATTACTTCCTTGAATCTCCTCTTCAAATCATAGTGTGTGTTTGAACAGTTTGTATGATGGTAAACATATTAATGTCCTAAAGCAGGATATTATAATTATGGGAAGTATATTTTTATTTATATTGGCATCAAATCCTTTTGCTGGGTTCTTCCAAATTATTCTTGATTTTATGCTGAGTTCCATCTTTGTCTTTTGCAGAAGCTCTAATATACTTTATTTCAAAGTAATATGCATCTTCTGAGAAAATGCTTTCATGATTATTTTTCTTAAGAATGTAAAATATCACTAGTGTTATATCATTTTTCTAATCATTTTTGACACAGTTATCTAAAAGGTGAGATATCTTAATTACTGTACTATGTCAGTTATATACACATTCATACATTATTCCTGGCTACTCATTACAATTTACTATCATTAAAAATATGTCCCTGACCCAGAGAGACACACAAAGCCATACATAAGGAGCACATGGTAAGAGAAGGTCTTTAATATATAATACTCCTTCAAAAAAGTTTGTAGAAAAAAATGGAATCAAAACACTATTTTATTTTGGTGTAAAAGAAATTGAAATCCATGCTTAGTTTTTCCACAGTACACATTTCCATGAACTACTTATAGACCCATCATACACATGAATTTCAGATAGTTTTGTACCAAAAATGCTTATATTTTAAATTATTTTCAAGAATTTCTTGAGGTCCCTGTGTATTATTTGCATCTCAGTCTATCATGTTCTGGCTTGTCTCTGCCTACCCCATTTTCATTGTCTACTTCATCTTTTGCTTCCTGAAGGCATTTCCAGATGTTCCAACCACTTGGTTTCCTTATTAACTTTGAATGAGCTCGACTTATTTCTCCCAATTTTTTGAGTAGTTGTTTTCCTTGTTATCATCTTCCCCTCAGAAACATATGACTATAAAAGATCTGTTTGTCACATGATCTTCATCACTATGAAAATAGTGGCTTAAATAAATTATGAGGTTTGAGAATATTTTTCTTAAGATTTCATAAGTCTAAATAAAAATGTTGCAGATATTATATGGACTTTCAATGGTATCTGCTCCAAAGCCTGCAATTCTCAATACTTTTCCTTCAAAGTAGATTTCTTTTTTTTTAACCTCCTATATTTTTTATTTATTTTTTATTTAGTAAATATAAATTTTCAAAGTACAGTGTATGGATTACAATGGCTTCCCCCCCCCCATAATTTCCCTCCCACTCATACCCCTCCCATCTCCCGCTCCCTCTCCCATTCCATTCACATCAAGATTCATTTTCAATTATCTTTATATACAGAAGATCAATTCGGTATATATTCAGTAAAGATTTCAACAGTTTGCACCCACACAGAAACACAAAGTGTAAAATACTGTTTCAGTACTAGTTATAGCATTACTTCACGTTGGACAACACACTAAGGACAGATCCCACATGAGAAGTAAGTACACAGTGACTCCTGTTGTTGACTTAGCAATTTGACACTCTTGTGTATGGCATCAGTAATCTCCCTAGGCTCTAGTCATGAGTTGCCAAGGCTATGGAAGCCTTTTGAGTTCGCCGACTTCTATCTTATTCTGACAGGGTCATAGTCAAAGTGGAAGTTCTCTCCTCCCTTCAGAAAAAGGTACCTCCTTCTT